CTCGTATGCTTTAGCCTTTGCTTTGGCTCGTATTGCTTTGGTTGGGTTTGGTTTGTTTGTTTGCGGCTCACACTTTTGATTGCATTTTCAGCAGCCACCCGTTTTGCTAATGTCCTTCGATACAGCTGCAAAATCAACACAGTTTCCACAGCTCGTCCAACACTTGGCCAGGAGCGCATCTCCATTTTCATTTGGTGTTTGATTGGATTTTCAATTATTCATTATTATTGGTTGCAATTTACCTGCGGCATCCGAGAGTTGACCGGCCAGCCAGCCAGTCGAGCAGTTAGCCCGGAAACTCGTCCTAAAGTGGCAACGCATTGATTGCGTTTCGTCACAGGCTGGCCAACACCATTCCCATTCCCATTTCCATTGCAGTAGCCCTTCTCCATCAGCGGTTGCCTTTCAGTGAATGCCAGATTTTCAGTCAGTTTTCCAGCTCATCAAATTCGAATTGGATCATTAAACGGAATTTTTAATGACGCGCTTTAAGAGGTTTGTTTTTATATTTTAATTTGAATTGTATTCGCCTATGCTGTAATTGGTTGTGTGTTCGTGGACTCGTTAAATCGATTCATCCAAGTTTGCGAGAGGCTGTCATTGGTTTTTGAAATTGTGAAGAGCCACGAATCCATTTAAATGGCGTAGACCATAAATCACAATACAACAATTCAGGTATAATATCATTAATATTACTTAAAAAGTAATAATCACAAAATAAACAATAATACAATTTTAAAAAACACAATTCTGTGTGAATTTAAAATTGTTACTGCTTTTTACAATCTTCAAGTTTGAGAATCTTTACTATGAAGAATTCCTTAATGAAAATTAATAAATTTGTTTGAGATTCTTTAGTATAAAGAGTTCATTATCAAAAAAAAAAAAAAAAATAAATAAATAAATAAAATTGCAGAATAGTCAGGTTTTGAAAACCATTGAATTCTTTTGCGAAATTCGACTAACAAATTATAAGGCTAATATTTTACATAAGGAATTAAGAGACTATTGCTTTTCATTTATGTATATCACTATAGAGTATATTTTAGTTGGTTGATTTCAAGGTCTATACTTGAAAACCATAATTTCTTCAATAAAGAATAAAGGGTCTGATCTAAGCATTGGACAATTTATTCCTTCATTGTTTGACTCTAGCGGCGGCTTAGTAGCATCACAACATTGATCTCCTTAGTCTATTCCAAGCTTTAATAACTTTTAAATGGTTGGTTTCTGTTCTTTTTGATTATATAATAAACATTTATCTGTGACAAGAATTGTTCATTTTTAAAATCGATATGATATTCCAAAATAATCGATTAACATAATTAAACTTAGAGAATCGAATAACATAAATTAACTTAGATAAGATGGGCTGTGAGTGTCCACCAGAGCGAAAATCGGCATTTTTCAACACTGAAGCTGCAGCTTTTGAATGACGGTTTGCCGTTTCGTTGTGATCTGCACTTCCAGATAATTCTACAGTTATTCTCTTTCCTCGAATAGTTATTGCTTTAATATGTGCCGCATGTGCTAACAATGGAATGATGAATAGGAAGCTCCTTTGAACGAATAAATAGATACGCAAATAATATCAATAAGAGTGCAGCAAAGTAAATTGTGTGGTATTTAACAATATACATACATATGTATATGTATGAATGTAGGTACGTATAAATATATGTACATACATATGTACATACGTGTATTATGTATATGTTTTCTCGATTCGAGGAAATAGTTGATTGCGATGAGTCACTGGCAAACATTCTTCCGCACTAATAGCAAAATATATGTATGTATGTATGTACGAGTATATATGTACATATGTATGTATGTATGTATACGTATTTACCAAGCAGTACTTTTCGCAAGGTTTTCGGTTGTGTCGGCTGCGCCGGCGTATTTGTAATTATCTGCGCCCTCACTGTCGCCGTCATCATTCAAATGAGATTAAACCATAAAGATAAGCAAACAACTTACCGAGTGACCAGCCGAACGAACGACTGAACGACCAACCGACAAAGTGTGTTTGAATTATTCTTATTCATTCGAATTTTTATTGGCATTCGACTCGGCACGCAATGCCAGTCCAATTTGATTCAACGATTTTACGAGCCAGCGGGCAATGGCCAAATGGCCATAATGGCTACTTGTGTTTGGTCGGAGCCGGAGCGCGACAATAAATTAAGTCAAGTGTAGCATTTAATTGATTTTCTCTGCCCGCTCCCATATTGAAATCCTAATGCCGAATACTGAATGCAGGCCATCAGCCCTGGCTCTGGGCTTAGCTTGGAACGATGCTAATCATAGATTAAATATCGTAAAAACAACAAAAAGCCAACAGCTAACAAGCCAAGCAGCAACCTCCCCAAGGGTAGCCCGCTTGACCAATAAAGTCAACATTCAAATCAAACATCCTCTGCAACTCCGGCACCCCCACAACTCCCGCCGCTTCCAACGCCATATGCGTTGAGTTGTTGGGCCATGGCCATGCAAACAAACCAATTTGTAGTACGATAAGTTGTTGTCCTCCTCCGCATTCACCCCCCTGCCTGCCTCCTCCTTCCAGTCACCGTCCTCTTACTCGTACTCGTCCTTGTTGCTGTTGCTGTTGCTGTAATCGTTGTTTACCAATATGTAATCCTTAGAAACAACACCAAATACAACGAGAGCAGAGCCTGCCGCAACTTTGCGCCTTGAATTTCAATTGCCTGCTTGTTGGCTGGAGCTGTTGTTGTTGTAGTTGTAGTTGTTGTTGCCATATTGGGGGCGTGGATGGACGGCGCTATTTAAAGGCATGGCAATCGTTTGAAGTGTTCGTTGCAAATTTGCGTTCCCCCTCCACTCCCACTTAATAAAAACCGTAATGCCCACCTCTTTCATTTTTGACGTTTCTGCTACTTGCAATTTTTATGTGAACGTCGCTAACGAATCAAATAAATTTGTTGGTCAATTAAAAAACTGCAAAACGCGCACAATTTCCACATGTGTGGCAACAACTGCAGCACCAACAACAACACCAACAACAACAACAACGGGAGCAACTAGCTCCACAGCTCAGTCGCTTCCATGGTCCACACTCTTGATGCTGATTTTTGCTCTAATGGCTGCGACGCCAAATGAAAAGCTCGTGCGGCACCAACGGAAAAAAAATTGCACTGCAAACAATTTTTTCGCCATTTTTTTCTACACTTCTGCAGAGTGTTTTGCAGCTCCCATTAAGTTTGTCACAAACAAAGCCACAAACACGTTAATAGCAAAGGGATATATGAAATGACTTTTTATTTTTTGAATCGATGAATAAATTAATGTAATTCACATTTAGTTTCTTAGTCAGAATATTGTACTACAAATATGTATGAATATTTTATGTATGTATGTACATATGTATTTATGTGTGTATAGTCAAAAGGTGGGAATGGCCAGTCCCATATAGAAGTTGTATATGTATACATGCAAAAATGATTAGCATGAATACATTATATGCTTATGTCCGAGCTCAAGATCTTTTGGGCCAATAACAGCTAGTGGGCTCCAAACTTAAGACATAGATTTGTCTTATTCTTCGTTACTTAGCATATAGAAATAATAGGCATAAATTCGCCACTAGTATAAGGATTTTTTTAATTTCATCGCTTCACTATATCCTTCTCTACTGCCTTCTAAGGCTTAAAGCTTATATTGAAATCAAGATTTTCCAAGGCAGACGCAACTATTAAAGAAATAAGAACCTTTATTAGGTATTGTATGGGTATTCAAACTTCGGATTGCTGTTTCCATTTTAAATATTTTGCCTTTTTAGTTTTTTGAACATTTGCACTATTCCCATGACTTCTTTTTTTGCCAGCGCTTGGCCAATTTTTTGCGCGAATTTTGTTATTTTTTTTTTTTTTCAAGCTGAACTTTGGTCGTAAACTAACTTTGTAGGTTGCTGTGATAGTGGAGCGAGCAGGTGGGAGGTGCTTCATGGTTGCCGAATGCAGCTGCTTTAGTTATTAGTGATGTCTGCCATATATACATACATATATACATACAAGTATGTACAAGTATATACGCTTGTGTATGAGGGGCGCAATGAACCAAATCCAAAAGTTAAATTGCAAGTCAGTGCCCGCGTTGGAGCCTTTGAAATAATTTGCAGAAATCGGTTGAGTAATAGAGATATATATGTACATATTTTTAAAGCAGACATTTATTTTTGGACTGTAACACATACATGCATATGTATGCAGACTAGATCTGATTATCTTGGCTGTGATCATTTACCGACTTTGTTGATGAGTTTCTTTTGCCCGCCCATCCAATTTCTGGCGTTAGTCTCACTGATTGTAGAATCGACCCCAAGTCTATCCCCCACAAGAACTGCCCGGCTGGAAACTATACACAAATTGCTCGCAATTTGCAGTTGCTACCTAGGCTGTGGCCAGACACTCCACACCAATCCCTACCAGGGCCTTCGTCTCTAGTCTCCGCATTCAGCCGAACGACAGCCAATTTTATGCTACACTTTTCAGTTGTTCGTTCTTTCTGTTCTCGTTCCGGATTTCGCATCCAAATGTGTGTATATCTTTATTTTTTGTGTGTGCTATTGCACAAAATTCTGATGTATGTTTTTGCTACGTGAATGACTTTTTACTCGTGCTATGAGTGGAAGGACACCCCCTCCTCCAGTAAACGCCCACAAGTCATCAGGCATCAGACGTTAGAAGTCAGCCCCATATTCCCTTGCTGCTTCCATCTTTTTGTTTGCGGCACGCTGCTTGCCTTGATTAAAAAATTCTTCCATTGTGCTGGCCAGCTCCATGTAGGAGTTTGGTGGAGGGAGCATATCTTCTGCGCCTGCTCGGCAATGAGTCAATACCGAGTCAATCGTCCAATCAACCCCTAGTGTTCGATGATATCGATTGTGAATGGTGGGCGTGCACATTTGTAGGGGTAGCTTAAGCTAAGCCAAAGGCACCCACTTCTTGATTGCTTGACTTGCTTGCTTACTTTCAGGCATGCCGGGCGCTGAGCGTGTGTCCACTAATGAGGATACCTTCGAGCAATACTTTATCTTCCGGCTAGAAAACGAGCTATTCGAGCTATTCGAAGAGCAGGAAGTGCTGCTTAGCATTGTTGCACGTCAACAGGAACGGCTGGATCGCGAGCTAGAAATACATCGCATTCTACAGAGTACACCACAGCAGCAAGAGCAGCAGCATCAGGGGACTGAGCCAGAGGTGGCAACGGTTGGCCCAATGACGTCAGACAAAAACGGCGAGGATGCGTCCACGGGAAACACTATATTCAGTCACCCAGCTGAGTCTAGCGTTGTTGAATCGCAGCCAGAACCAGTGCCGTCGCCTCCATCGGAGCCAAAGAAATCTCAACTGCATATCAATCTCTCTCAGCAACTGCTCACATCACAGCAACTGCTCGACGACTTGCGCCAACAGCAGCAGATGCAGGCAGATGAATTGGCAACTAACTTGGAGCTCCAGCAGGAGCTGCTGCTGATGGCAAAGCCTACTGAGAAAAAGCACAAGCAAGAAGAGCCACTATGCCCTACAACTAGATGCGAGCCTTGCAGGCAAACTCCTCAGAGTTCGTTGACTGTCTCCTCCATTGATTTATATGCCGCTGCTCAGTATCAGCCGCCTAAGCAATCTGGCCTCGGTTACGATCCTCCATTTCCCTATCCACTGCTGCTCTCCAAGAGTCTCGAGGACCGCCGCTTGTGTAAGTGACTAGCAATGGAACAATTTCAGACAATCTCATATGAAGCCAACTTCTTAATTGTCTCCTCAGATATTTTCAAAATTGTGGACGGTCTTGCAGAGCAATTGCAAACATCCCAATTGAAGAATCAGACGCAGGCCCAGGATGAGGAGACCATCTCATCAATTATCGAGGCCGCTCCCACTGGCGCCATACCGAAGCGCCTAGAGCGTCCTGTCAAATTTTTTAGAAGCAAGAGTAGCTGTGGCAACAAACTCTCCAAACGTCAACGCAGTAAGCCCCTCACAATTTAAAACACAAACTTCAATTCACATATAAAGAAAGTGTCCAACACCATGATTGAACCATTTACAGAACAAGAAGAGAAACAACAGCAACAACAACAACAACACGACCAGGGAGACAAAAATGATGCTCTTGAGACAGAGCTCGATCTGGACTGTGAGCTGGGAATGGAACACATTGAGAAGTTTCGTGCAAACAATGTGCGTAGCGAGATGAAAGTTTCGGATCATATGCAGAATGTAGAGGATGTTCAGCCGGCAGTTGACATGACGGTCATTCCGATGGGCACTCTCGACCGAAATCAATGCTCTCCAGAAGAACAGACGCCACAAATGCAGACACCACTTTCATCTCCAATGCTTACGCCACTCAGTCAGTAATACCATAAATGCTATTTTAAGCGCTGGCTCACATAATTGTATTACACGCAGGCAGTGATCTAACTGATGACATCTTCAAGACTGCCTTTGAGCAGTTTGGCCCGGCTGCGGTTGCAGAGGAGTTAGGTGTCGGATGCAGCACCACACGCCCTTGCTCACCCGAGTCAGAGTGTCTGCCATCGCCATCGCCATTACCCGTACCTTTGAAGCCACCACGTATGGGCTCCGGGGATCCTCAACCTTATATGGCACCGTATGATGCCTACTTGCCCAGCGCTTCGCTACAGGCACAGGAGCAGTACGTGCACATCCACCCCAATATGTCGGGCGTCCCTAATGTCCAAGGACTAGCAAATTCTCCAGTCCATGTGTCGATTTCATCACCGAATTATCCCCTCACGCCCCAGAATGTGCCGTTTTCGCCGCATCCTCAAAATCAGTCGCATACGATGCAAGCTAATCAGTCTCAGCATTCGTTGCAAATGCAACTTCCGATTCAGGCTCACCAATTGTCACCCCAGTTAAATGCCCAGCAATCTCTGAACTTATCGCCGCAGACTCCGAAATTCCCACTCTTTTCACAGACTCCACAGTCGGCTCAGCAAATACAGCTTTCGCTGCCAACACAACAATATCAGGCTTCGCCGCGAATTCTACAATCGCCGCACACGCCACCGACTTCATGTCTAACACAGACTCAGATTCAATATTTACTTCAAGCTCAGGCTCAGGCTCAAGCTCAAGCTCAATCTCAGGCAAATTTTGCACAGCCTGCGATGCAACCCGATTATGCGCAGAAATCACCAACCATTATGAATCTGTCGCCGATATCCACTGCAGGGGTTGCCACATCACCGTTATCGCAGGGTTACCCTTCAAACTGCAACTGGGTGGTTGGACAAAATAACTATCCCCAGTGCGCATCGCAGACATATTTGCCACAGCGGGCAGGTAAATCACTGGAATCAGCTTTTGATTTAATTGAAACAAGTTTTCTACTCCCTAATAGATGGCGGCCAACGAATATACACATATGTCGTGGAGGCCTTGGACCGATCCATTAACTACTTACCAAATCAGCAAAGCCCGCACCCTCAGCAAATGCAGCCTCCACTGCAACTGCAGCATCCACAACAACTTCAACCTCCACAGCAACATCAGCCTCCACTGCAACTGCAGCATCCACAGCAACTTCAACATCCACAGCAACATCAGCCTCCACTGCAACTGCAGCATCCACAGCAGCTTCAACCTCCACAGCAGCTTCAACCTCCACAGCAGCTTCAACCTCCACAGCAACTTCAACCTCCACAGCAACTTCAACCTCCACAGCAACTTCAATCTCCACAGCAACTTCAACCTCCACAGCAACATCAGCCTGCACAACAACATCAGTCTCCACAGCAACATCAGCCTCCACAGCAACAGTATACCCCGAATGGTAAGTTTTCACCTTTCACCTTTATAGCATTCAAATTGGATTGTTGGACTGACTTAGTACATCCATATTACTGCCCTAGTTGAACCTTCAAATGATCAGGTGTATTTAATAAAATTGGCTTCCCATCCACAGAATCTATGCAGCCAGTCGAGTCGAACCCGACTTTCTGGGGGGCTTACAATCGACAGCCGCTGACTGCGTTGGAAGCTACAATCATCCATCCTAGCCCACAGACACCGCCAAGCATTCCATCCCCATGCTTGTCACCGTGCTTATCAATGAGCCCCCCAGTGAGCCCAGCAATGATGTCTAGCAACCATTCAAATGCCAGCGTCAACAGTTTTGCTGGACCTATCCACTTCACACCACGCTCCACGGTCAGCACCGAGTATGATGGCATCAATGTGCCGAACATCGAGCTGCCAGGTAGTGGACGGAGCGATCAGCAGGACGATGCACAAAGTAAGTGAAAGTGCAAGCATAGACCCCTAATAGCTTCTGAGCAACCACTCGCAGAGACATACCATGTTGGCCCTAGTGGCCAGAATGCATTGCCACCAGGTATGACCGAAGCTCAGGCTGCCCATTTCTATCAGGCGGTGCTATATAAGCAGGAAATGTTGCAGTTTCAGCTTCTGGAGTTGCAGCAGTTTTACAGAAGCCATCATCAATTTTTCAGTGAAAACGAGAAAAAATGCGAGAGAGAGGCCGAAGAACCGCAGGAGCAGCAAAGCCAACAGACGAAGCAGCAATTGGACGAGTTAGAGACGAATCAATCGGACGGGGATAGAAAGCCAATGGAAGGGGCAGAGCTGCATGTAGATGAGTCGCAGGAGAAGGCGCAGTCAAAAAACCAAACACGTGAGCAACGCCGGGGACTAGCAACGGACCTCTTCAATGAGACGACAAAGAATCAATCGGACAAGGTATCTAAGTTAAAGAAGAAGAAGAAACGACTTCAACAAGAAGACTTTCAGCATTCGTGCGAACTTCAAGCCCAGCTAAAAAGATGGCACAAACAAAAGCAGAGAGGTGAGGATGAAGAGGACAAAGTATACCATAAACGAAGGCAGCATAAGGAGAGAAAAAAGATCGAAAAACATCCGGTTCAGGCAAAGACAAAACCAGAGTGGCAGGAAAATGTGGAAATGCGCCAAAAGAAAAACACCAATATTGTTACAAAGCCTCAGGAACCTTTCTATATATTCAACCTAAAATCAGTAGAAGCGACGTGCAGCGAAGAAAGTAGCTCTTCTCCACGCCACCACGGCTCCAAACGACATGAATGGGAGGAACGTAGAGGAAAATCTCAGAAGGACAAGGTAACAAAGAGGACCGTAAACTTATTAAAAGACCCACCACTGAAGCCTCCCTTAATCGGTGGAGCCAAACCAGAGCCAGCAGGGACAGTGAATAAGAAAGACGAGGACCGGCCAAAGGCATGGCCAATTCTTTCACGTGCCAAGGTAATGGGCCTTAGTTCGGAAAATGCAGGCTTCGCCAGAAAGTCAATGCATCAGATAACGCCGCATGCGCGTCTCTGCCGCGTTAAGAAATGTATTTCGGTTGAGCACAACTTGTCAGCCGTACCCAGATGCTTCCGCCATTTCTTTTCCATGTATCAACGCGTAGCTGCCAATCGTTTTCCGAATCGTATTCGCATTATGCCTTTAGAGCCGTGCCCAATGCCCAACATACCGGCAGCGCCATGTGCAGGTGCCTCAATCACAAATAGAGATGATGTTGGTAAAGGCTTGTGTCCACCGCCGCCTTGTGTTGTCGACGATCCGGGCATGAAGCTGAAGCATCTGCTTCTCGATCTAAAAACATTACGTCGTCGGCCGGACATGCCGGAATTAATACCGCCGTCCGATCCGGTGACTGCGATATATCTGCCGCGCTTTGAGCTGCGGAAGGGAAAGCAACTGTGCAAACCATATAACATGCAGCCGCTGTCCAACAAGTGTATAGACAGTTCATCCGCCAAGACCAGAGACACCAGCGCAACGCCTGACCCAGCGGCAACAGCACGTTCCACCTCCACTTATACGAGTCTGGATAGCACAACTAGCTGTGGCACCCTCAGCTCCACCAGCACCACCAGCTCCCAACTCAAAGCTCATGCCGTCCGCAGCAAAGGTGCCACCACAAACATTTTGCGGCTCAAGGAATACTACGATAAGAATCGGTATGAAGTGAAGACGGTCGAGTCAACGGTTATCATCGATGGAGTGTGTGTCAAGGTGCACAAGCGCGTGCTGAAGCCGCGTGAGGTAGATGGTAAGAAATTGTCCACTATGCTCTGTGATAAGGACTGTAAGGACGGAAGCGCACGTAAGCTTTTCCCATTCGTGGCTTCTCCATCCACCCATTTGATCCCTTCTTCACAGCGTTGCAGGTGTGTAACCAGCGTCGTAATGTGTGCAATATTTATGATCAGACGTTGGCCAGTGATCAAGTTGAGGGGGTTCAGCTGCAGCACATTCCGCCTGTGGGGGACTTTCGCAGCTACTTTGAGCTGGACAAGATCTCCATTGAGATTCTTGCGCACTTCGCGGCAATGCCGCATCAACCGAGGGACGGTAATGGGCAGCCGGCGGAGTTGAATGCACGCATCGGACCCTTTATGGTGCATTTTTATTCAAGTCGCCAGCAACGGGACACCGCTTGCTTTCATTGGTACGTAAATGAGGGGTTCTTTGCCGCTCATCTGCTGACCCAAGATGGGATCTGCTTGGATGATATGTTACCGCCGGATGTGGGGGAAACAGATGCCAAGAAGCAGGCTGCTGCCTACGACGCACTGATTGGCAAGGTCCTAGCCCACGCGGATTTACATAATAGACCCAATAGCGAGCCACTGCCTCTGACTGAGCTGATGGTCTACTACATGGTCACCAGTTATATGCGCATGCTGCACGAAAACGCGATCGATCGTAAGCGTCCGATCTTGCAAAGATTGCTGTTGTGCGCCCGATTCGCAGCTTCCATAGCGGAGCAATATATGCAGGAGCGTTGTCTTAGCCCTGTTAGCGACATTGTTTCCTGCATGGATTTGTTCCATTGGGCATTGCACCACGAGAGTCGCATGCGGTCCATGTACAATGAGGCTCTGACGTATGCTGAGGAGCGAGCGGCATTGTCGCAACGGGCCTACTTCATCATGCGCACACCCAATCTGGAGGCCTTCTACGATTTCTATGCAAATGGTCAGCTGCCACGTCCCGATGCTCTAGCCATCATGCCCCGAGATCAGCAGGAACGCCACGTGCGTCGCTATGAGGTACCCGACCTCAAACTGCCCTCCCTGGCCCCCTGCCCAATCAGCTCATGTGGTGTGGGTTTGTGTGCTCGCAACTTCATGGCACACTTCTTGACCGATCACTGCCGACGACTGGAGGAGTTGTGGCTGCAGGATCGCATGGTTCTGATGTTCTATCCGGGCTGTTATCCGCCCGAGCACACTTACTGCATTTGTGTGATTGCACTGCTGGCGCGTGACCCTCCAAACTTAGTGCCGATGCCTCGGCGTGTGCTCAACTATCAGCTGCCCCCGAGGCAGCTTTACTTTGCCGAACACTTGCCCTGCATGCTGATGTACAGTCAGGTGTCGCAAGCCCTGCTGCAGGACCCACCAGTTTTGAATGCGGTTTTCAATATGGAGCAATCCGTGTATGTGTTCTGGCTGTCCAGCGTCGATGACTACTCGCCTAATCTCGGCTGCCGCATATACATCTATTGCCAGGAGCGCAGCATGTCGGGCCACGCCATTATGAAGTTCGTCAAAATGTCCGAGTACCGCGATGTGCCCCACCTGATGCGCAAGTTTGAAGGCAGCTATATGGCCATTGATTACCCGACCATGTCCACGCTCACCAATGACTTTCGGGAGCTCATCTACATCGATGTGCGCTACATTGATAAGGATCACTACGATCCGGCCGATTCGGGGGATGAGGATATCTGGGACTATTGATGTGGCACTCGTTATCTTAACTGTATTTTTTATATTTATTCTCTCAAAATTTTAGGTTTGCAACCATTTCCATAGGGCCTTAGCTCCTCACAGTGCCCGCTGCAGCTGCAAATCATTTCTCTATGATTTATCTCTCAAATTACTTTACTTACCCGAAATGAAGGCCAAAGCTGAATGGTTTCTCAGAAGCAGCGGGTGGTCCGTTAGTTTGTATCCAAATAATCGTATTTCTAAAACGCTCTGTCTTTGCAGCTGCCGATTTTTAATGTTCCCAAAACAGAGCTCGATGCCTGCCAACCAAATTCAACAGTTAACTGAAATCCTTGGCCGAAGCTGCCCAACAACAACGAGGGCCATTCAAAATTCCGTTCTGCTGCTCGAAGCTCGTTAGTTTACCTTTTCAAATTGAAAACAGCGTCATGTTTTTCCAAGTTATTTTAAATGTCAATGTATGCATGCGTATCGAAAAGCTGTTCGCCCATGAGCCATATCTACAAAACTAATGAAGAGATAAAAACCGATTCAAAATGAATTTATGATTAAAAAGCTATTAATTTTGATATTGTCAGATACAATCGACCTGAAGCATTTCAATAAAACACATAATCAAAATTCTAATTTAAGAAACCCAAATTGAAAGCGATATGTTTGGGGCTTCACATTTAATTGTCATTTTATGTAAATCACATAGTAAGTAGCTTAGCACCAATCGGGCTTCATTTTTAAGTTAGTCTGGTTTTTGTTATTACATAGCTTTTAGAACCATCTTAAAAACATATTTGTCTCTCAAGTAGTAACTTTTTATCTTATGTATTACACCCATGAACTTAAAGATAAACTAGCCAACAACCAGTCAGTAGTTTCTAAAATTAATTTACATGACCCAATATTTTATGTAATTAGTTATAGCATCTTAGTCAAATCTTTTATTTATGTTTATGGAAGTAACCAAATACTTGTTAGAAGTTTTTTTTAATAGCAGCTGGGTTATTCAATCGAAATTTCAGTTTTAAAACATATATTTGTTGTATTATTAACCGTAAAAAACAATTTTCTATGCAATCAATAAATAGTTGAAAACACAGTAAAAGTTTTATTATTCATTTGATGATAATATTGCTATTGTTTTGGCATTTGTTCATGAAGAAATTGGAACGAAATTCGATTTTAACAATTGTGTGTACATATAACTACTGTTGATACTTCTAATGAGCATCTGATAGACAATTATAAGCAGAGCTGTCTGCCAATTGAGTTAAGTTGTACGATTCATCATTAAAATCGCTGTGCTCATTAGTTTAGAAAAATGTGACATACTTTTAATTCGACTCCCCAATACCATTTGACTGGCCATCCCCCCGCCCCAACACCAAGTCGAATTCAGTTGCAGTGCAGACTCAGACCAGAGACTCTTCCCAACCCCTCTGCCCTTCTATCCAGCTCAATCCAGCATGCCAAAGTGGCAGATAAAAACAACGCGATGGAACGAACGAACGGTGGAGCATCAAATCAAAAAACAATTACGCGGCAAATGACATTATCAAATGTCAAATGTCATGTTTAGGAAAACGTTTTTGTTTATTTTTTATTTCCGCCAATGTGCCCGGGTTCATCCCCATACCCGACCCGCTGCCGAGCGCAAAATGCAAAGCAGCGAAGCCTGGGAAGTCTGGCAAGCTGGCAGAGAGGGGGAGGACATCTTATCAAATTCGTTCAAGGCAATTTTTCAATTCATTGAAGTGGAATTCATAAAAAAAAACCAACAACAGCAACAAATTTGAACGAAACACGGTCTTAGGTTGCTGCTAGGTTTGGACATTTTGAGAGCAAGAATCGCGCCAAATTGATACGCGCGTTTTTAAACGCGTGCACATCGACTAAGCGCCACTTGACTCCTACTCCCTGCCCTTGCCCCCCTCCTCCCTTTCCATCGCTCTCTTCTCAATGCAATAGCTTCTGTCTCCCCCATCCTCAACTCCCCCCAGCAACCATCTGCAGTCGCTTGTTCTCTCTGTCTGTTTAGTCTATAGTATCTTAAATCAAAATCTAGATTTTGGATTCTTTTATGCATGCGTATTACTTGCCCGCGCCTGTCCCACCTCTCCGCCCACCCCGACGAAGCGACAGACCGACAGACCATATCTGGGTTTCAGCATGGAACTGGCACCGGGCCTAGATGGGCTGTGCAGCTTTCTTGACTCGGTTGTTGGTTGGCTCTTTGGTGGGTTGGCCGTTCGGTTGTTTGTTTTTGTTTCTTTGGTTTCTTTGCCTCTCGTCTGGGTCCGTCGCTGGCCGATTGTCTTTTATTCTTTTGAATTCTTAAGCTCGTTTGTTGTAAATAAATCTGTGCAGCTTTTGTATTGCTTTTTATTATTGGTAGCAATTTCAGCCTTTGTGGCGGCTGATAGCCAATCCAGACAGACAAACGCACGCGTCCTGTCGGTTGCTGTTATGGCAACTTAAAGTTCTCAATTTTATTTTTCAAATATTTCAGATAGATAGAAGATGCTGGCCCCCCCTCTGGACGGACGGTGAAATGAAATTGACAAATTATTGTAGTTGGCTTCGTAATCGCAATATGCCGAGTAATAGCAAACAAATAAATGGGTCAAGCGGCCCCTGACCAGCCATCCAGGTGCGTTTTAACAGCATAAGCACAGGAACAGAGATGGCGACTCGGACCGGGTCTGATGTGTTGCCTCATATTGATGAGTGCACATAAATCAAACGAATGCTGAGAAATTGCAGGGCCCTAATGAAAGTCAACACGCAGCTGGAGCTGGAGCTGGGCTGGAGCGTGATCCGGGACTAGAGAGCATACGAATGATAGTATAGCGTGGGCTTTGGTAATGGTAGGTAATAAATTGCTGGCCTCCGGGGGTGAAAGCAATAAGTAATTCGGTCTTCTGATCGGTCTTATTAGGCTGCCTGTAATAAGTATGTTGCTATGCCCATCATTATATAACCGATAACAGATCTATAATTCGAATTGGGGAACACATTTTTGTTTGCTTTTCTTGTACATATTATATTTTTGCAGTCAATGCCTTTGACCTTGCATACATTGCATCTCTTCTGGTGAAAAGAAACACCTGCAGTATTAATCCATATTGAATTAGCTTCCCATAGTAGTGCGAATGCATTCAAACGAATGTATTTAAACGAATGCATTCAAACAATTTTTCATGCTTGTATAGGTTGGCAACATTTTTTATTCAATTGTTAACAATTATTTTCTTAAGCAAATATCCATGTTTTCAAAAAACGTCTATATATTTTATTGTTGCAATATGTTAATGTAAATGAAAATATTTAAATTATTTAAAAAAAACGTTCTTAAGCATATATCACATTTCTAAAATTTGTCTACATGATTTATGTTTTATTGTAAATATGTAAACTTAAATGCAAAGTGAAAAATATAACAGACAGAAGGATGCTTAAAGTACTTACCTATACTTGTATATTCCTGACAAGACATAGCCATGTCCGTTTGTCCGTCTGGATATCTGAAACGGCTGAGCCCACATTGACCAAACTTGGAAAGTGGACTCTTCCGGATTTCGAAAACATCTAAAAGGAATATAAACTGTATTTGAAAAGTGGAAATTACAAAGTTTCCTAAATCATTTATTAATATTCATGAGGTAGGGTGAAAAAACTTCAGAAATAGGGCCACAATATTTCAATGGCAGAAGCAACGACTAAGAAAAGCTGTGAGTATATCAGTCCTGATTGATATTGGAAAATCCTTTCGATTTCAGCTTCCCACTTGTTTTTATTTGTTTTAAACAAAATATTTTTGCAATATAATTCGCAACTTCTATACAGATTGTGCTGAGTGTGTCTTTATATTCGATATATATAGTAATGTACATACAAGTATAACATGCTGATAACTCCATTGAGTCTTTGCTTATATGAATTCGAGGCGGTTGCACTTCTTAATGCTGCAGCCACCGGTCATTAACGGCGGCACTCAGCCCTAAGGGGGGCAATCGCCCACCCGCTGAACTAAAAACTATTAAGCAAAGTAAGGCCATCGCCTCATCCTGTTAAGTTGGCAGCCATTAGTCGTCGCCGCACATATGTCATAGCCATCGAACTCATACCGCCCTCCTACAAAGACATGGCAGCGTAAGCAAAAAACAAAAAATGAAAAATGATCTCATGGCAAAATTGCATAGTGACCATTGAGGAAGGTGTGGCGGCATTCGTCCAATTGCCATAATTTATCTGTCACATGTCGAATGTGTGTCAACGTCATCGTCATCGTCAACATCAACATCAACCCCCACCATTGCCACTACTCCAATCCCAACCCGAACCCAAGCCCGAACCCAAACCTAACCACCACCCACTGAGCTCACAAACAGATCTATAGCAAGGCTGTCGTCGGTCAGTTGTCATTAATATTTATTATGTCACACGCATGCAGTGGCCGGCGATTCCTTGATGTCCTTGCTTGGGTTAAGGGCGCGAGTACGTGTCAAGTCAGAGGCCAAAATTTGGCAGTCAGCCTAACTACTGGCAGGCATCTGATACAAGTATTTTAATATGCAGCCTGAATATGAAATGTCTGAGAACACTTGTTCCGAATAATGCAAAGAAAAGCCACAGATAGGCCGATGTGCATGACTGACCATGCAAAATTAAATGGCATCATCGGGTAACATTATTGTACCTACTCCTTATACATACATGTACATATGTATGTATGCAATAGCATCTATTCCGATTCCCTCTAAAGTGTACAGGTTACAGTTAATCCATTCCAAGGCACAATTAGAAACGATTGTGGCTCTCCATCAGTGCTTAGCATAAACATATCAAATTTTTTAATCGGTAGACTTTATTAAAAAGCACATGAATATGGAAAAATCAAAATCCCTCAAAACTTTAGAGAATTAAGTGTACAGAAATACAGGTTACAGTTAATTCATTATTAAATACAATTACAATCGTAATCGTAATCGATCGTTAATCGACAGTATTTATTTAAAAGCACTAGACTATTTAAAAATCGAAATCCCTCTAAAGTGTACATAAATACAGGTTACAGTTAATTCATTTCAAAATACAATTACAATCGATTGTGGTTTTCCATCAGCAATCAGCATAAACGTATGAAATTATTACTCAATAGTAAGTATTTATTAAAAAGCACAAGAACATGGAAAAATCGAAATACCTCCAAGGTGTACATATGTACATAAATACAGATTACCATCAGATTATCCATCAGTGTAATCGATCGTTAATCGGTAGTATTTATTCAAAAGCACAAGAATACTGAAAAATCGAAATAAATAATTACTCGCTACTACATGCTGCGATACATCCGATTAATGCAACTTTGCGCATCAATCGAATTCCCTGTGCACTAGAGCTGGGGAAACATCGATGTTTGCCAACATCGATGTTTCGATTTTTTTGGAGGAAGAACATCGATGTATCGATGCATCGAAATTCCACTAACAAATTTTCAAAAAAAAATTAATATACATCATAGGGCACTTCGTTTTGATTTGTCTGTTTATAAAGGAAAAAAAGGGTTTAAAACAAACGATATTTTTATAACTTCAAATAATAAACTAAAAACAAGAGAAAGTATAACA